ACACACAAACACACACACACACACACACACAGACACACACACAGACAGACACACACACACACACACACACACACACACACACACACACACACACACACACACACACCCACAAACATATACACACACAAAAAGGACGTCTCCTCAGACAGCAAGGACAGAGTAGAGAGAGACAGGGACAGAGACGGCAGACAGACGACGGTCTCGCTCGTCACCGCTCAGCCCTCGGCACCCAGGGCACGGGTCTATCATGGGTTTTCACATACACCTCCCTCTATGACACCACTCGCCAATCTGGCCCACCTGCCTCGCCAAAATTTCGCGAACCTTCAGCACAATCATGAAAGCGCCTTTCTACCCAGCACCACCAATACTTCATCGCTACTATCATGTGTACCTCATTAGTGCCAGATTAACTATTCCCCTCCCTATACTCACCCACACCTTACATATAAGTTGCGTCTTTTTTTCTAAGGAACGCACACTATTAACTAGGAATGCACACTATTAACTCTATATTACAAAACATCTCACTGTTAGTCATTAATTTGACTACACAAACAAACAAACGAAGTCACACACTGAGATCAAACTCGTGACAAACTATCATCTTACACTCCATTCCCCTACCTTAACTATTCTTTAACTGGTATAATAGTGTTGTGTTATTTGTTTTTTTTTCTATCATTATTGCTCACACTGTGCAGTGTAGCATATACATTTTTGTCAGAAGAAATAAGATTTATTCAATTATTGTTATGTTCAGTTGTCCTGTGTATATTCATGTTTAAGGTTGTGAATTTACAAATTTTTGCTTTTCTCTCTTTATGTGATATGTTTACTAGTAGAATTTATACATATCGTTGTGTTCTTTCGAAGCATAATTTTCCTTTTCCTTGCCACACTAACTGTTCGCTTATTCACATATACATGTCGATTATCTGCTTTACTCCCCTACTTGACTGCTTCACACGAAATTGACTCTAGGATCATGAACTGTACTTTGACTTATAAGTGAATCTAACTCGCTCTCATGACGTCCTCTCAAAATTCGATATCTTGTCCTCAGTAATGCTGGAATTTATGCTTCTTTGAAACTAAAGTATTGGTGAATATGTTACAACTGATTGAGTCGATTCTGTTGCAAATAATGGCTCGCACTGCAGACACCATGCTTTATATAAGCTTACATAGTTGATATCATGCAAGGTAATTTTAAGCTGGCTCATTGCTTTAAAAACTGGAATTTTGCTCGCCGGGAGAATCTCCCATGCAGGAATCGCGCCCCACCATACAAATTACTTACGTTCAGACAGTGCGCCTGAGACATTCATAGTTAACTTTAAGTTCAGGTCCAGCTGTGTCCAATGCATAATTACTTGACTATTCAAACCGAAGATATAGAATTCTCGCTCATTTTTTTTTTGCTCTCTCTCAAATATGATGGTACTAAACGAGAGTCATCCTAACAAACAAAGTAATTAATACTTCATGTGACAACCTTCTCGTGACTGATATTCTCATTACGCTCTCATTTTCTGGCATCTTAGTAAGGTTACTGACAAGTAACTTACCATCCTCCTCCTTAGCCCTTTTACTGGCCTGGTACACTTATAGTTCAACCCTGATGACGGTTTAACCCTCCTTACCATGATAACCTTCCTTGCCACTGAATGTTGCACCTGACTGTGAAACCTCTACCACACCGCTACTCTGGCACATGACGACCTTGCAGACCATGGATCACCAGCAACCATCTGTAGAAGCCTAGCAAAGCTTGCCACCAGACGGGCCAACAGTGCATAAGATATTGCAGATGGCTCGAGGTCGAACCTTTCGCGTAGCCAAGCGATGTAAGACATGCTTCAATATGCTTAAAGGCCGGATGGTGCCCACTTTGCCTTCCTCCTTCAGTGAACTTCAGTGTTCATTCTGCATTTATTCTCGACACTTCTGTGGTGTAAGAAATCACCCGCCCTTGCAAGAAATAGCTGCACAAAAGGACGCCTCCTCAGACAGCAAGGACAGAGTAGAGAGAGACAGACAGAGACGGCAGACAGACGACAGTCTCGCTCGTCACCGCTCCGCCCTCGGCACCCAGGGCACGGGTCTATCATGGGGTTTCACATACACCTCCCTTAAGAAACTAGCAAGCTATGACCCCTTTCATTCCTCTGCAATAGGGCCAACCTCTTACTTTAATACATATATAAGTTTATATATATGTATATATATGTATATACATACATACATTTATATATATATATATATATATATATATATATATATATATATATATATATATATACACACACACGCACACACACCACACACACACACACACACACACACACATATATATATATATATATATATATATATATATATATATATATATATATATATATATATATATATATAATATATAAGTATTTACGAGGACATCATAGTCTTCCATTAAAAAAATATATATATTTGCTATATTCAACCTCAGAAATGGAGACTAGGCAACTGAAACGGTTTCATTCTCTTATTTCTTTGTAGGTTATTTATTCTGGGGCCTTCTTGCTGGACTGATCTTCGCGGCCGGGATTCTCATTGGCCAGGCCGTGTGTCTGTGTCTGCGCCGTCGCCATAGGGATGTAAGTATAGGCATATTTGAATCTTTGGAAATATTCGATTCTTTGTTAAAAATGAATTGTTATTACCTTCAAACACATACTCATATACACAAACAATTGCATATACACATTTAATTGTGCACACTTATATGGCAACATCAGCCTATACGAACATAAGCATATAAACATGTCTGTATATTGATTATTACCTAAATTTTTCTCACAGGAAGGGAGTGCAAGGACTCCACAGCAAGGACCACCGGCGGCAGACCAAGACAGGCAGCCCGACATCGAGTCCCCTTACCTGAACCCTCGAGTCTTGTCTCACAGGGAGCCCGAACCATCAGACTGCACGTCCTCTGGTTCTGAACATGTCTACGAAGAGGTGGATGAGGACGCCTTCTTGTCTGAATGAGAGCTTCATCCAACTCAGGCTTGTTTCCATTCAGAGTAAACAGAGAGACATGAAGGAAAGGATTACAAGACTAGGTATTTTGTATTTGGATTCAGGATCAAGTTCAAATTTTATTTCTGTCATTCATTTGTTTGTTTTCTAATGACCATGATTGTCTCATCTAAGACTAGAATAGTGCTGATACACTGCAAACTTTATCCTCTTCTGTATAACATATTTATACACATTACTGGTTAACATAGATGAATGAATAACCGATAAACTTTTAGAAATTCTGTTCGCCCAGTGACATAGTTCTGAACAATGAATGTCGTCGGTGTCACTTTGACATATTTCCAACAGAATGGTAGTTGGCAACAGGAAAACAAATATACCTGATACATGTAATTGCAACATACAAATTCGTTAGTCAGTATCAGTTGAATTATGTACCATGAACTTATCTGATAAAGTGACAAAATATAAGACATTCACACATTGCTCATTTTGCTCATTTATTGAAAAAGAAAACCACGTAAAAAAAGTTGAAAACAATAAGTATGTATTTCCTTAGACACAAAGGTAACCTTTTAATTCACATGTCATGTATTATTACGGTGATTAACAATGAAGAATGTCTGCCCCATTGCGTCTGGTGCGGAATCAGCTAATGTTTTTTTTTCTGATCAGGTCAACTTTTCGGTCAAAGTTGATTCTGAGGAAGCAGAGATATAGCATTAGAATCTGCGTACAACATAGGAATATTTAGAATGGGATCCCGCCATTATGAGCCAAGAAACTCAGCAATGGACGGGAAAGCTAATTATGTTTACGATTTGGCCGTAAGAAGGAAATGATGGATGAATAATTGAACGAGAGAAAGTAAGAAAGAAAGAAAAAAAGTAAAGGTAGAGAGCGTGACAAAATGAGTGAGAGAATTCATGAATAGCTGGGAGAGAAATATCAAGAGAGAGTGAGAGTGAGAATGATGAACGATTAAGTTTTATGAGGTAGAATGAAAGAGAAAATTTTGTCAAAGGAGATATAAAATTTATATGACGCTATCAACCTTCCTCTTCGTGCTCTGTTTGTTGCTCGGAGGCAACATGGTAGGAGATAATGTCACCGGTTAAAACTTCCCATAAAATCAAACTCGACTGTTTATTCATTTTATCCTGTGCTACCAAAGGATGAGCTTTGAGAAGAAAATGTCGTCTTTGGCCATTCCTGATATTTGCCAACACAAAGAAAAAAGTTTGCTCCAGCATTTCTTTACTCTTTCCTTTCACTTTTTTCTTTCTTCCTTGTTCATCTTTCAGTGGCTCTGTGTATGATTAGTAGTAGTCTTGCCCGACAACATAAACAAGATAAGGAAAGAAGAAGAAACCCAGAACTTTATTCAGATAAGAAAATTCTATAAAGTTATAATGTTTCCACGAAGCATATGGACAATATATTCTGCAACAACATTATGGTGAATATCGTCAATTGTTGCACACGAACACACCCACGTTAATATATATATATATATATATATATATATATATATATTATATATATATATATATATATATATATATATGTATGTATATATTATACATATATATATTATATATATAAATATATATATATATATATATATATATATATATATATATATAATATATATATATATATATATATATATATATATATATATATTACGGGCTAGTATGCTTTTCGCATTAATCTTACATTAAGAATCATATATACACACACACACACACACACACACACACACATATGTATATATATATATATATATATATATATATATATATATATATATATTATATTTATTTGTTTATAGATATTTACATTTATGTTTATCATACTCATATTTTTCATGGATAATTATATCTACTGTGTATTTGAAGCAATGCGCGTCCGATGGTGTTCTCAGAAAAGCTTATCATATATTTTGTTAATTTAAATTTTCATTTTTAACA